CCAGCTATTTAAATAAATTCAAAATTTGGAAATACAAAAATTACATTTTTTATCATCATTATATAAATTTTTAGTTGCAAATTTGTTACCAATCATCTGATATCACCAAAATCTTAGTAACTACCTTCGAAAGTCAAAACCAAACTAGAAACTTGAAAATTCATATCCCAAGATTCAGTTGTTCAAATAAGCTCAAAATTTGGGAGTACAAAATTTATACCTTTAAACATCATTATACAAATTTTTAGCTGCAAATTTATTACCGATCGTCTATTATCACCAAAATTGTAGCAAATACCTTTGAAAGTCAAAATCCTAGACACCTGAAAACAAATTTTATCATTTCTCTCAAACCAAAGTTTCAATTGATATGAGATTTCAGAAATAGGCTCTTTATATCATAAGTAACATGTACACAAAAAATAAGCTTCAAATTCATCTTGAAGCTCAATTTCTAGCTTAAAATCAAAACCCTCTAATTCTCTAATTTCTTCAAAATCCTAATTTTAATTTGTTGGTTTTATCAACCATATCTCATTCAATCTAGACTCAATTGTATTCATATTTGAATGTAAAATTTTCAATATGAAGTCTAATTTCTAATACAATTCTCCAATTTCTTGCTAGTATCTTAAAACTTCTAATATGCATAGAAAAGTGACAATAGGTATCAAATTAGTAGTATAAGTTTAAACAAGCATAACTCTCTCATTTGAGTTCTAATTCATGTGTTTTTTCTACCTAAATTCATTTCAAGAGGCTCTTCTTTCTGAATAATTCTTCTCTACTTGCCAAAAAAGAGCTCTTCCTTACTTTCGAGCTTACCAAAGAAGTCACAACCAAGGTCTTCAAAGTCTAAGTCAAAAACTAATAGTTTAAAGTTAAACAAACATAAAATCTAATCCTCCACATCAGCACTATTAGTAGTAGCCAACTAATGCTATTCAAACTCCTATTTATCTTTAATAAAACCCAAATACAACCTCAAAGTCAAAATTCTTTTTACATCTACAAATATAACTTTGAATCTACTAAAATCAAAGATTAGAAAGAAAGTTAAAAGAATAAAAGAAGTTTTCAAGGCTAAACCAAAAATAAATTTAAGATTAAAGATAAATTAAAATTTAGCCAAAATTTCAAAAAAAGAAAAAAGAAAAAAGTGGTAAAATTTCTCTAAAACTATAAAAAAAATTAGATTGGTAAGCAGAAAAAGAAGTTAATAAAAGTTCAAAGAAAAGTAAGTCAAGAAAGATTTCTATACATGAATGTATTTACATCATGACAACGTGTCTTCTCTTGAGCCATATAAGACAATGAATATCTTGAGAAAAAGAAAAATCCCACCTTCTTCTATAAAAGTAGATAATAATCAAGAATTCAAGGTGGAAGAAGTCTTAGATTCTATGCAGCACCAAAATAGGTTAACATATCTTATTCATTGGTGTAGATATGATATTTTTGAATACACATAGAAGTCAACAAAGAATCTAGTAAATACAACAAAGAAAGTTGAAGCTTTTCATTGATGATCTCCATCAAAATCAAGATGAAGAATAGCAAATTCTTGCTATAAAAGAAACAAGATCAAAAGAAGATAACATTCTACCTTCTATTCTTCTTTGTAGCTTTTGTATATTTGTGACACTAAAGACATAGAGAACTAACAACCTACAGATTCAAATTAAGAGCTTTTATTTATGAACTTATTAGATGAGATATTGCGATTATCGTAACCTTCAAGACAATGAAATTGACATGAAGATCCTCAAGAATAACATGTATTTCCTCAAATAGATGGCAAAATATATTGTATTTGGTATCACAACTTTGAAAGAGACTCCGAATGTTTGGTCATTAGAGGTAGGAATAATTCTTGATAGTATTCCAAATGTTTTATTTGAAGGAAGTTACAAAGGCCTTAACAATGATCAAATAATATGGTGGTCTTCTTATCTTAGTATGGGACACTATTGATGGCTGAAAAGACCTATCAACCATCTTCAAAAGGAATAAAGATCAGAGTATGTGATAAATACAATTCGCCAAATCTTAGATTTCCTCAATATATGAAGATTGCTCCTCATAGAACTTGTTTCTAAAAAAGGAGATAATGTCAAGGATATACATAGATATGCTAGTAAATACCTATATGACTAAGTAGAAGTAGGTAAAAATAGATAAAAATATATTAATTTCATAATATCTTTTAGAATAGCTTCTTAGAAGCTTCATAGATGCTGCTTTGACTTTAAATATGTTTGTAGTTGATTGATAGGTTAAAAATTTGGTCAACAAGTTAACCACTTGTTGATAGCTTACGGAACAAGCTAATTATGTGGCGCTCATATAAGAAACTTGTCTTACAAATTAAGATATGTATCTTATAAAGTCAATATGTTTTGAAAGTCCTATAGAACATAGCCACGTAGCTCCTAATTAAGAGTGTATATGGAGGCAAGAGTAAAGCTTTCTTCACTCTTGTCAATGCCTTTCTAGTCCTTACTCTTATTCAAAAACTTTCTAGTCTTCTTATCTTTAGCAATAGCCATTCTAGTTCAATACTATATCATCTTTGAGTGACTTCTTAGTTCTTTTCAATGATACAAGAATATATAGAGGATTTTTTTTCTTCAAGATTCATATCCTTGACAAACAAAAACAAAGAGCCTCATTTTCAAGTGGAGTTGCAACATGTTATTATAGTAGAGAGAGTTTGCCTCAAGAAAGTAATGGGCCTTTGATTCCTACTAATCACTTAAACAAATTACAAGTTTATAAATTATAAATATTATTTATAGCTTATCTTTAAAAAGATAATTTCATCAAATACACAAGTCTAGAATATACAATAGTATCAAAGATGTGACTAAATATGGAGATCTTTTTTGTATATGTATCACTGAATAACTTCTATTCTAATCGTCCAATTGGATTTAAAATTCTTCATAAGTTAATTTATATCTTTAACTATCTTTATACAAAAAATCAACTATAAATTTATTATAAGTCTCTAGATATTGCCTAATTGCTAGAAAGAACTAAACATGTAAATTTTTTGGCATCTACACACTAATTCTATCATATCTCAAATATTCAATATTTAAATATTATAAATTTTTTATATAAAACTTCTTAACATAGTCATCTATACTTATGGAAATTTTTAACTTAAAATTCGTCCAAAAATTTAAAATATGGTCCAAATCAAAACCTCTATTAAAAATAATTTATTTACAAACCTTAGTTTTAAATATTAATTTCCAACAGCTCTCTTTCTTTTCTTTTAGATTAAATTATATCTATTTCTTTACATAAAATCTAGCTCTTCAAAGTCAATTTTTTAATTTCACTTTCCAATTCTTGAATGCTTTCTTACAATTCTCTACATGCTTAAAAGAATAATAATAGATACCAAATTCATACCTTAACTTCAAACAATCATATCTCTTTCATGAATATTTCAAATCACATATTTCTTCTATCCAAATTTTAATTCAAAAAACAAGCTTTTTAAATTCAACATCCAAACTTTGAATGAATCATCTTACCTTGAATAGTCGGCCTTGCCATGAATGGATTTCCCTAAAGTAATCCCAAACTCCATTGTGGTCTCAAATAATATCTCAAAGCCCATTAGATATGGCTTTCAACCAAAGAGAATGAAGTCCTCTATCATTCACTTTATCCTTCTACATAAGATGACCTAGAGTCAAAATATTATACTTTTGATATTAAAATCCATCTAAACTTTTTACAAATAAATTCTACAACTTCTATCTTTAATTACTAAACTTAAACTACAAACTTAAACAAATTAAATAAATATTTTATTTTATCTATTTTTATTTTAAGTTTTAGTTTAATTACATATCTCATAAAGCTGAATTTTGATTCTATTACTTCTGAAAATGTTGGAGAATAAGCCATTGTTCCACATTGTGTATTGTCCTATCGAATACAAGTACTAGATTTCGATAACTTATTCATATTTGACAACTTTCTTCATTGCTATAAGGCTTGACTTGTCAAAACATGATTATAGTAGTTGTTTTTAGCTAAATGGGCACTATGTTGTGTATGGTGGATTTAGCTTTCTTTAGCAATTGTATAGCCATGGAAAAAAGGAGAACCACAAAGGCTTCATTTTTTGTGTAGGTTACCATGCCCTGCCAATGTTGCTTAGTGTCTAAGTAGGTTTTATAGAAAGTTTATAAGATATGTATCCAAACTCCAAAATATATATATATATATATCATATAAAATCCACATGCAAATGTCACCACAAGTTGTCCTAAACTTGCATTGCATACCACATTGCATTTAATGGAACATTGCTAATGTAAACAACAATGTACACAGCAATTTGGTATGTACATCAACAAATATACATTTTATGCATTAACAAAAATTGGTGGCATTAGCAAAAATTGTAAGAACATATAATAGATGACATATTTTGGTAGCAATAATAAAACTGTAATGGCATTGGCAAAAATATATATATATATATATATATGTATAAGCAGTTTGATCCAGTATTCTGAAATGTGAAATCATCCAGGGGTCGAGCTATGGAGAATTGAGCTTCACTAGAGTTAAAAGTAACAATGTTTATATATGTAAGTTGTGTATATATATATATATATATATATATATCAATATATACATAAACAACCTGTGCGTGTGTGTATGCAGAGCTTTGTACAAATGGAACGTACTGGTAACTGTGATTCTTCGGAGCTCTTATGCATTTGTGAGTCAGTGTATCCAGCTCTTTGTGAACAGTTTGTATCATCCAAGTGACAAGCGAATCGGAGAGCTTTCGATGCTGGATTCTCCATCGCAAACGCACACACTATATTGTTACGGATGAGTGTACTGTTGTCACTGTAATGAAACATGTATCTCGTTTGTGTCCTAAGTGTTGATACGTGGTTCAGTGTCACTTGATAACCAGCAATCTCCCTCCGCGACATCGTTCAGCATTTCTCTCATCAATTATTTCATTCGATTTCAACCTACTGATTTGCTTTACATTCTTCGTCGTCTGCTTTTGGGATTTTTTTAATAGGTCGTAAATTTTTGTTAAATTTTGACCTTACGGGCTTGAAGAGCGTTGGGGTCCATGGACTGAACTTTAGTTGGCTAGGAATTGGGTACGGCGAGCCTCCTCGGCGAAGGCTATTGGAGTTTGAATGTGAGGGATGAGTTTTGTGAGTTGCTGGTTGGCGTCGTAGGCAATTGGTGTTTAATCGGCGAGCTTGAGGAGGATCGACGAGCATTCTAGGAGGTGAGGACCTCGGCTGGGCGTGGTGTTTCCTGGAATTGCAATAGGTTTGGAGCTGGAGTGACAGCGTGCGCTTTGGGGGGGGGGGGGGGGGGGCTTGGGGAAAATTTTTTGGAGGGAAAAAACAAAACGGGGGGGGGTTGTGCTCAGTCGGAAGGGCTGAAATTTAATGAGGAGCACGAATTTAAAATGGGGGATCAGTTCTTCGTGCCCTTTTTGGGGGGTTTTGTTTGCAATCCGTCATTGAGGCAGAAACCTAGCGATGAGGGAAACAAGAGTTAAGGTTTCTGCAAGTTCTAGAAATGGGTTGTCATATACAACGGTCTTTCCAAACTCAGTTCTGGGTTTCTGTTTTGGTGATTGTGGTAGGGTCTTCATAGGCCCGACGACATTGTAGAGGAGCGTCTGGGGCGATGGCCACCATGAATGTAATTCAACCGAACAAGTACTCCGCTGTCGTGCTTGGAGGCACCTTCGATCGTCTCCATCCTGGTCACCATGTCCTATTGAAGGTGTAATTTCTTTCCACCAGCGTCCGTTTTTAAGTGAAAAGTAACTTCGCACATTTTCCCTCGCATCTTTGCTTGATCAATTTACTTGTGGGTGTGCGATCTAAGAGTGAAATTCTGCTTTCAGGCTGCGGCAGAACTGGCGAGAGAGAGAGTTGTAGTGGGCATTAGCACAGGGCAAATGCTTTCAAATAAAGAGGTCAAGTTCTATGCCTCTCATGTGTTTTCTTGGGGTGTTATATGGCATGAATGTTTTTTTTGTTTTTGAGAATTTAACGCAGGAAACCTCGAAAGTTGTATGTGGTGCCGCTTGATTCTGATTACTCTACATTTGTTTATTTAATTGTTGTATCTTTATAGATCCTAGCACTGAAAGTTGTGTAAGAGTGACAGTCTGGGTTCTAGTTTTCTTCGTCTAAATGCAGTGCTAGGCCTGCCAAAAGATTCCTTAGAAGAAGGGGCTTAAAAGGTTCACGATTCATAGAATGAACACAAAGAACGGGGGATTAAAGAAAAATTGATGGTCATACTTTCAGGTTTATGAAAGTTAAAAGATGAATTGCGATTGAAAGCCCTAACTTCTTGTATTGATGTATGTTACTTCAGTATGCACATCTGATTCAACCCCTGGACGTCCGTAGGCAAGCAGTGGAAGTCTTTATTAAGGTGGCATGTCGTTAAGTCCTTCCTATTTGACATCTTCGCAGACGTGACAGTCTCAGCATTGTCGAGTACTGTTTGTTGCTGATGGATATGGCCATTTAAGGTGCAGATTTTTTTTAATATCTGTGAAGGGTAGGACTTCATGTAAAATGTGCTGATTGATTCCGTTCTAAAAGCGAAGCGATTTTTGTGCAAGGAAGTCAGTAAAGCCAGAGCTGAAGGTGCAAACTGAACCTATTACAGACCCTTATGGACCCTCAATCGTCGACCCAGAATTGGAAGCCATTGTTGTAAGGTTAGCGCAGTTTCGTTTCATGATAATCATTGATGCATAGAGCATTTGAGTTATTTCTATATCAGCATGGGGTCTCTAATATGTTTTTCGGTGGGTGACATATGCTACCTTAGTAAAGAGACGATAAAAGGAGGAGAATCCGTGAACAAGAAAAGGGCTGAAAGAGGTCTCTCTCAACTCCAGGTATTGATTTGTGTTGGGAATAACGTGCTTCAGTTAGACCTTTCCGTTCCACCTCTGTATTTGAGCAACAGTTGGAGTTAGCAACTCTCTTCCACTGCCTAGTTTTCTCATTTGTTCCTAGTCCTCGATTGAAAATTGGTGATTTGGACCGTTTGGTCCTTGTCTAATCAGCCATTGATACTTAATATTTTTATGGTGTAGGTGGAGGTTGTTGACTTGCTATTCGAGGATGGCAATACAGAGAAGATAAGCTCCGCGATCCTGAGAGAGCGTGAGGTGAAGCAAACCAAAGTAGGTTGAGCTCAATGTCTACTTGTAAGAATCATCTGATAAACAGCTGCAATATTGTGATTTAGCTTTCTTTCATATTTGAAGCAGCTAGATCTAATGTCTCATGCCTTTAATGTAATAGTTGAGCAGTACCTTGGACCTCAAGTAGTGAGAGCTACATATCATATTGGCTCTGTAGTACTCACTGCAGGGTTGTAGAAGAGTTTGGTCGGGTCTTTCGTAATTGATGGTTGTCACACATATCTAATTTGTGCACTCCTTTGAAGAATTTCCATGATAAACATAAAAATGATTCACGTACAGGAATCCCAAGAATTGCTTTCATTATTTGGGGTTTGGATGTTTCGTTTTCTAAAGACTAGAGGATTGATGAAGGTAAGATGCAACAAAATCTTGAGAATGCAACCTTTCTAATTCGTTGATTCTGGTGGTATCTAGCATATTGTAAATATGGGGTGCTTGGAGTTTGTGGTATCAGTTTCAGTTTTTAATGATACCTGATAATATTAGGAAAAATTGAATCAAATACTTTACATTAGAATTCAAAAAAGTTAAATCTGTTTTGGTCATGGTCTAATTTAACATGTGTTATATTTTCCCAATTCATTAATTTATTCCAGGGTCATTATACGTATAGTGATTACTAAGAAAACCAAAATAAAAGTAAATAAGATGTCATTCATTTGCAAAATACATATTTATAGATCACTTATAGTAATAGTATGTATATATATATATATATATATATATATATATATATTGGTTTCTTTTATGGGTGGCAGTTTCCAATACAACCTTTGAAAATATTTTAAATTTTGAAAATGTTAAGATTTGAAATATTGTCCATATTTTTAATTTTAATATTTTAGTATTAAAATTAATAAATATTATATTATAGCCAAAATAATGAAACCTTTCAATTTTATAAGTTTGAGCTTATTAAATTGATAAAGATTGTACAAATAAATATTTACAGTCTTTCAAAAAATAGAATCAATATGTATGAATATATATATATATATATATATATTGATTTAGTTTTTTTTAGTCAATATGTAGAACTTTGAATCTAAAATAAGATAATATTAAATGGAATATTTACCTACACCAATGTTGTCGTGTGGTAGCATGATTATATGGTGAAAAATAAAAATATGGATGTTATTATAAAAGAGCTTGATAGAAAGATATAATAGAAAAATGAAAGGAAGATAGTAAAATTTTTAGTTTTAATGCAATCTTTTATAGAAGAAACTTCTATTTACTTTGTAGGGATATAAATGCCTCAAATCAAAGTAAATGACGTAAGTAATTAATATAGACATGTGTAGCAGAGAATTAATAATAGATTTAAGTAAAAATTATCTCAAATTATCAAGAATTTATATCAAAAGAAGACCAATTATAAGCCACAGTCAAAATCAAATCCTTAGGCACAAAACTGTGCACTTATAGCAACTTTAAGGTTCTTTTGTGGGATTTGAAAGCAAACTTAAAAAGAGATTTTTAGAAGTTAGTTTCATATTATTTGGATAGACATTGAGGTTTTGAGAACTTTTCAAAGTGAGATATTTATTATGCAGGTTTGGATTTCAAGAAAAAAAAAAAAAAAAAAATGTAATTTTAAGAATTGTCCAAATTTTGTAGCATTTTTACAAGTAAACATTTGTTAGTTTGTCATTGTGCTTGTATTAGAATGTGTATGAGAAGTTTGATATGAATTGAGCAGTTAAATTGAAGGTTGTGAGAGTTTTTGTGGATTATGGTCTTAGATAATTGAAACTTAGGATCAATAAGGATTTTTGTGATCTTCTAATATTTGCCAATTTGATTGAAGCAAAAATTGGTGAAAAAAATTTAGACTTAATTATGTACACATCAACCAAGTTTTGGAACAATTGAAGAATTTAGGAAGGAGAAATTTTTGTTGAAAGATCAACCTTCAAGTTAGAGAAGGAAGGCATCCAATAACCAAGTGATTTTGAGAGCTTTTTGTGCAATTGATAAGTCCAATTCTTCTAAAATTTTGTGTGCTTGATAATTGCTTATTGATTGAAGCCTAGATGAAATTTTAGATAAGATCAATGGTTCAATTAGTATTTATTGAGGTTTCAAACAATTATAGTAATTAATTAAGATTTATTTAGGATTTTCTTAGAATTTGATTAGGATTTTTTTTAAGATTTAGGATTTAATTAGGATTTATTTAGGATTTAAATATTGATTAGGATTTTATTATGATTACATTAGGATTTGATCTAGGATTTAGTTAAGATTTAGGATTTTATAAGGATTTCATTAGGATTTGATCTAGGATTTGGTAAAGATTCATTAGGTGTTTAATTAGAATTTTAATTAGGATTAAATTAAGATTTAATTAGAACATATTTAGGATATATGTAGAATTTATTTAAAGTTTTTATTTTTAGTATTTTTTAAAGATTATTGTTTTTTTTAATTTTTTAATTTTATATTTCTTTAGGATTTCTTTATTATTTTTTTTGAAATTAATTTATAACTTCTTTATATTTTATTTGTAACTTCTTTTAAATTTATTTTAAGTTGATTAAAGTTTGATTAGTATTATTAAAGATTACTTAAAGTTTATTTAAAATTCTATTAGACTTGCTAAGATTGATATTGCATTTCTACTTACCTTCCACAACTAGGTACCTAGTACATTCTCAAGTAAGAATACACACAATTGTTAGGGACATAGTCCTTAGACCTTTCTAGAGACAAGTTTCTAGAACCTTCGAGAAAGAAGTCTCTAGAAACTTCCAGAAGATTCTTTGAATATTCTCTTAGAATATTCTTCAAAGATTCTCTAAAGATTCTTTGAAGATTCCCTAAAGATTCCTTTAGAAGACTCTAGAAGATTCTTAGAATATTCTAGTAGATTCTAGGAAGTTACTTGAGAAACTTCCTAGCTCTTGGGTAGTTGCTCGTGAAGCTTCATAGTTCTTGGGAAGCTTCTTGATGCGCTTCCTTAGAACCATAGGCCAGTAGTATATATAGGAGTCGAGGCTGAAGAGTTCTTCAGTCTCGACAACACATCTCTTGAAGCTCTAGCTCAATTCTCTTGGCGTTGCTCTTGTACTCATCTGATAATCTAGTTCTTGTCATTTCTTCTTGAACTTCTTGTTTAGATTTCTTGTTTGTATTTTTGGTCCGTGACAGTTTGTCGAGACTACCTTTATCTTAATATCAGAGCTGAATCCTTCTTGTTTGAGAGCGGATTATCCCTCTTCTTGAAGGTATTCTAGCGCTTTAGGGGTTGCGGATTACCTTCCTCTAAATTGATATTTTCTCAATCACAATATCAGAGCTTAGTTCTTTGAGGCAGAGAGTGGACTACCCCTTTCCTTGGAGATACTTGAGCGTTCTAAGGGTTGCGGATTACCCTCTCTTAGACTGATATTAATTCCTTCTTTTTGTTTAGCATAGCTAGTAAAAAAGACTGTTAACATCGATTTCAGAGCTTTGCCTTCTTGATAGAGTGCGGATTACCCCTCTTCTCGAAAGCATTGAGGCATTTTTAGAGGTTGTGGATTACCCTCCTCTAAAACTGAAATCGTTTAGTGTTTTTTTTCTTTTCTCCGAGTAGGTTTTAGTGACAGGTAGTGCTACAATTTTCTCCAAGAGACTTAGCAATTTCTTCTTCTCTCAAAATTTTAATCCATCTATTCTCTAAATATGGAAGTAGACCAGGTCATAGACAGTGCATCTCCACAAATAGACAATAGAGTGGCAACTCTTGTAGATCTTCAAGCTCTTATGAATAGTGTACGAAAGGAAATTGTATTTCTTCACAATCCAAGTAAAGAACCTCAAATTGATCTAGTGACCGAAGAAGCTAGACGCGAAATTCATAGCCTACAACAAGAGATTATTCGACTAAGAGAAGCAAGACATGTGTCACATACGACCCCTATGGATACTTCAAGGATTAGTACAAAAGAACCAAAAGCGAGTATACTAGACAAGTTTGACGAAACAAGAGCCAACTTCCGAGGTTTTGTGCAACAAGTACGGCTTTACCTACGCCTATACCCTTCTCGTTATCCGAATGGATTTACCCAGGTTGCTTTCATAGGTACTCTTCTATCAGGAAATGCTCGCTCTTGGTTTGCTCCACTATTGGAGAAGGATTCTCCAATATTGTACGACCTAGAGGCTTTCATAGAGAGACTTACTGATGCGTTTGGAGATAGCGATCGAGAAAGAGTGGCTGAAAGAAAGATACAAAATTTGTGACAAGGATCACATTTTGCTGCAATCTATGCTGCAGAATTTCAACAGCTTACATGTGATCTTGATTGGAATGATAAGGCGTTCATGACACGATTTCGATATGGACTGAGAGACGATGTCAAGAACTTATTGATCACCATGCCTAAGGCGGATACTTTAGAAGAACTTATATCTCAGGCAATTATTTGTGACAACCACCTCTTTGAATTACGACAAGAAAGACGATCAGGCTGGAGAAATGATGGAGCATTTGCTACATTTTCAAAAGGTCCAGAGAATCACTCCACAGATCTTGAACCCATGCAAATTGATGCGGTACGTTTCAAACCCCTCACAGTTGAGGAAAGGAAGCGACGGTTTGAACAAAACTTGTGTTTATATTGCGGAGAAGCGGGCCATAAAGCTGTAGATTGTCGGAAGAAACAGAAGCCTCAAACAACAAGACTTAGGAGTACAAGCATGCAGGAAAACAAGGACGCCCAACCACAATAGGGACCGTGCGGCTGGACATCTCAACATCCAAAATTAATCAAGGTCCCTTTCTCTGAGCTCAACCTTCAGATTGTTTTATGGTACCTTTACATCTGGGTATTCAAGAACTACAAGTCGATGCTTTATTAGACTCGGGTGCATCCGCTTGCTTTATAGATGAAGAGTTTGCCAAGCTTTACAATATTTTTCTTGTAAAGAAACTTAAGCCTGTCCATGTAGAAGTCATAGACGGACGACCATTGTCTTCGGGCAATGTTATCCATGAAACTAAACCATTGAAGGTACGTCTTGAAAACCATGAGAGCAATATTGTGTTTAATGTTATCAAGACCCCTTCATGTCCTATCATTTTGGGACTATCTTGGCTTGATAGATATAATCCATTGATAGATTGGAAGTTGCGGAAAGTGACATTTCCAACAAACTCCTTGAAGGTGGAATCTGCCAAGACAATGTCTAGAAATAAATCCTTGTTTATAGGTGCAAGGGCTTTCATAAAGGAAGCCAAGCAAAATACACCTCTTATCATCTTCGCAACTCCGACTCGAGAAGATGCAACT